AAAGGAAGAGCAAACCAAACCTACAGCCCAAAGACAGGAATAAATCATAAAGATTAGAGCAGAAGTTTATTCAATTGAGATGAAGAAAACACTTCAAAGAATTAGTGAATCAAAAAGCTGGTTCTTTGAAAGATTAAATAAAATCAATAAGTCCCTAGCTAACCTCATCAAAAAGAGGAAAGAAAAAATTCAAATACAAGCAATAAGGAATGAAAAGGGTGTGACCTTGTGGAAATTCAGAAGGTTATCAGTAGCTACTTTGAGAATCTTTACGCTCATGGAATAGAATGCACAGACAAAATGGACAGATTCCTAGAAAAGTACAAATTACCAAAATTGAATCAAGAAGATATAACAACTCTCAATTACCCAGTAACAGCCAATGAAATACGAAATGTAATAAAAAGCCTGCCAACAAAAGTCCAGCTCCTGATGGATTCACAGCTGGATTCTACAAGAAATTTACAGAATATATAATTCCTACACTCCTCAAACTTTTCAATGAAATTGAAAAGGAAACAGTTCTCCCAAAAACATTCCTAGAGGCAAGTATTATACTGATACCAAAACCAGGGAAAGACACAACTAAAAAAGAGAATCTCCCTCATGAACATAGATGCAAAAATCCTCAATAAAATCCTAGGAAATAGAATACAGCAAATCATCAAGAAGATCATACACCATGACCAGGTAGGATTCATCCCAGGGATGCAAGGATGGTTCACTATTTGAAAATCTATAAATGTAATACACTATATCAATAGAGCAAAATCTAAAAACCATATGATCATCTCAATTGATGCAGAAAAGGCTTTTGACAAAGTCCAGCACTCATTCATGTTCACAGTCCTACAGAAAATTGGGATAGTAGGCCTCTACTTCAATTTGATAAAAGCCATCTATGACAACCCAACAGCTAATATAATTCTAAATGGGGAAAAACTGAAATCTTTTACTCTCAGATCTCATACAAGATAAGGATGTCCTCTATCACCATTCCTATTCAATATAGTTTTGGAATCATTAGCTAGAGCCATTAGACAAGAGGGAGAAATAAAAAGAATAAGAATAGGTAAAGAAGAAGTTAAGTTATCATTATTTGCAGATGACATGATACTTTACTTGGAAGACCCAAAAAACTCCAACAAGAAGCTACTATAATTGGTACACAAATTCAGTAGCATAGCAGGATACAAAGTCAATACCCAAAAGTCAATAGCATTCCTCTACACAGATAACAAACACACTGAGAGGGAAATTAGAGAAGCAATACCTTTTACAATAGCACCATGGAAAATGAAATACCTTGGAATTCATTTAACTAAAAAAGTCAAAGATCTTTTCACAGAAAATTACAGTACTCTGAAAAAAGAGATCGTAGAGGATTTCAGAAAATGGAAAGATACTCCCTGCTCCTGGATAGGAAGAACCAACATCGTGAAGATGGCCATACTCCCAAAATTGTTGTACAGATTTAATGCAATCCCTATCAAACTAGCACCACCAGATCTCCCAGACCTAGAGAAATCGTTCCTAAAAGTTATTTGGAACCAGAAAAGCCCTAGAATAGCAAATGTAGTCCTGGCCAACAAAGACAAGGCAGGAGGCATTACAATTCCTGACTTGAAATTGTACTACAAAGCTACTATGATAAAATCAGCATGGTATTGGCAACGAAATAGACCTGAGGATCAGTGAAATAGATTAGAAGATGCAAAGGCCTCTACGAACAAACTCAGCCACCTGATCTTCGACAAAGGTGCCAAAAACATTTACTGGGAGAAAGATAGCCTCTTTAACAAATAGTGCTGGAAAAACTGGCTCTCTATGTGCCAAAAACTAAAACTTGACCCAGGTCTATCACCATGCACTAAGCTAAAGTCAAAATGAATTAAAGTTATAAACATTAAAACAGAAACGCTAAATCTCCTGGAAGAGAAAGTAGGAGGAACTCTTGAAGACATAGGGTAGGCAAAGAGTTCATAAACAAAAATCAAATTGCATGGGTAGTACTTGAAAGAATTAAGAACTGGGACCACTTCTTACTGAAAAGTTTTTGCATGTCAAAAGAAATTACCAACAAAATGAAAAGACAGCCTACAAATTTGGAAAAAATCTTAACTAATAAGCACTCAGACAAAGATCTGCTCTCTAGAATTTATAAAGAACTAAAATACATTAGGGCCCCTAAATTTAAAGACTCAATCCAGAAATGGGCATGCAAGATGAACACACCCTTCTCAAAGGATGATTAAAGAAGCATCACTAGACATCTGTGAAATGAAAATTAAAACAACACTGAGATACCATCTCACCCCAGAAAGAATGGTAATCATAAATCAACAAACAACAAGTGTTGGAGAGGCTGTAGGGAAAAGGAAACCCTTCTCCAATGCTGGTAGGAATGTAGACTGGTGCAACCATTATGGAAATCAGTATGGAGTCTCCTTAAGAAACTAGAACTGGAAATCCCATTCAAGCCAGCTATCCCCCTACTGGGAATTTTCCCAGAGGAACTGAAAATGTCATTATCATAATGATATATGTGTACCTATGTTTATAGCAGCACAATTTGTGATAGCCAAATCTTAGAAACAACCAAGATGCCCGTCACCTGAGGAATGGTTGAAAAAGATGTGGTATTTTTATACACTGGAGTATTACTCAGCTATAAAGAATGATAAACTCGAAGCCTTCATATTTAAGTGGATGCCATTTGAAGATATAAGTGAAATAAACCAGACCCACATGTGTAAATATCGTACAGTCTCCCTAGTATAAGAACTCAAAAGAAGAAATACAAATAGAAAGGTATAGCAAAATTAAAAGGAAAGTGAGAACTTGAGGATTGGACAATGAGAGAGCAAGGAGAAAAGCTGGGAAACAGGACAGGGACAAAGCCATACCAGTATATGCACAAGATGGGCAAGACAATGATCCTGAGAAGCATCAGCAGGTTTTTGAAACTAGCAGTTTATTGGTAGGATTCTCACCCTGACTAACTATACATGCTGATACCTGTGAACCAAGCAACTGCACTGAAGATAGCAATGTGTAGTAGAAGGATCACGCTTGGAATGCCTGTCATTCTGGTCTCCTAAATACGTACTTGTTGTCCTGACATACCAATTATTACCATACTGTCTCTCGAGTAAAAGTTGTTTTTTTTTTTTTTAAATAAAGGGTCATAAATGAAAAGACACAAGAAAAAAAAGTCATAGAACTGTGCTGCTACAATGCTGTATATGGTTAGATTACTAAATTTCTGTGTAAAAATATGTTTATTCCTATATTTTAAATTATTATTTTTTCTTCATATTCTGTAGGGACTTAAAGTTTAACATATTAATACTTGATGGAAAATACCTGTTCTGTGTTATTCCTAAGATGTTTGATATTTAGATAGATAGGGTAAACCAAACTGCTTATATTGCAGGGTTATAAGCTTCTCTTCTGGAGGGTTAACAACCTAAGTTTGCAGATCAAAAATTAGAGAAAAGGAAGGGCTGCAAGGTCAGCCAACATTTTGGCCCTAGCCTTTCAAGATCAGTGAAGACTCAGAACATAGGAGAACCTATACTGTAACATCATGTAACTCAGTTGTGTCCCAAATTTTCTGATCAAGGAGATTATAGGGCCAAAGAGAAAAATGATCAATGATGTAGTGTATGCCTAAGGAGAGTCACATAGAGAAAAAACATTTTCTCAGGCTTTCACAGAGAGCAAATTGGTCAAGCAGTGGCCGTGACTCATCCTCATGGCTGACACTGACAAAGGATCTACAAAGTGCGGTACAGGGTTACAGCATAAATCCTGAGGTTACTTGGCTGACCTTATCAGATACAAAAGTTACATTTCCTGTAACTAGGTCTTTTTTTTGTCTTGGTCTTAACCATCCAGCAGAAAATATAAAAATGAGGTATATAAAGTAAAGCCATATTAATGTGCTGAGCTGTGAAAGGCTCAAGTCAACAGCTTCTGTGGATAATCCACTACTATTGTGGACTGATGGACTGTGTTGGATTGTTTTGCTGAATTCACACACCTATAGTATTGAGATGCCAATGGAATACCCATCTCTGACAGGACTAAACAAAAAAAAGGGGATATAAAGGAAGGACCATTTTGTATTTGTATATACAGAATAGTTAGGATAGATATACAGCTACTTTCACTTAATTCAATGAGAAGAGAGATTTGTACTAATAGTGTTTGGACAGGATATCCTGTCTGCTTCTTGTACTGCGGATAACCACTAAGATAACAATGTACAATAAGGGGCCGGGGAGATGGCTTAGTGGAATAAGTGCTTCCCTGGCAAGCGCAAGGGCCTGAGTTCAATTCCTGGTTCCGCCAAAAAAAAAAAAAAAGAGACGAAACAATACCATCAACTAAAACAATGTACAATGTATTAATTATTGAAACTGTCCTATTAATCAGTTTTGAAACTGTCTCATTGATATTTCTCAATAAAATACAATCAAAATATAAAAAGCAAAAGAAATGTGTTGCTCAAGGTTTTAGAAGCTGGAACATCCAAAATTAAGGTATCAGCAGATTTGGTGCTTGTGAGGTCCCTTTCTTGGGTCATAGAAGTCTGTCTTTTCTTTGTGCTCTCACTGGTGAAAGGGATGCAGAATCTCTCTGAGACCTCTTATCATGACACAGATCCCATTCTAATCACCTCCCAAAGTCCACCGCAAATCTGTTCTTAGTAGTGTTACTAATGGCCATTACTTCCGTATCTGGAAATATCAATCAACAAATTACTGATCTTTGTTTAGTGCTTGACATCTTGCATATATCAGGATCACCATAGATGTTGAATAAACTAAAAATACATAAAGGAGTAAATGGCTCAAATATTTCAAATGTTTCTTTTATTGTCATTTTTAAAGCTTGGATAGAAAATTTAAGCAATTAAGTTATTCATGTAAAATAGAAGTAGTGTTGGATAACCTTTATTTTATTTTTAAATCTTTACCCGTTCTATAGAATTGAACTTGCACTCCTTTTAAAAGAATGGCTTCGTTGGAGTTGAAAAAGCTTATGATTCTTTTCTGGAAGAATTTTACTTTAAAGGTAAGATGAACTATGTATATAAAATATATATGTACAAGTATATGTAAATATATGCATATAAGTATATATATATATGTATATATATATGAATGTAAATTGACCTATGCATATTTCAACAGTTCAGAGGCCACCAGGGGAAATTCTGAACATCTGAGCATTTCATTTTAATTTATATTGTTTCACGTTTTTCATTTTGGGGATTGGAGATATCTGTTCTAGACATAGACTTTTCATGGAGTGAAATACTAGCACACTGTCACATAGAAAGGAGAGAAAATCCGTGCAATTGCTACTATCAAAGTGAAGCTATTTATTGACCATGTGGATTTTCCTTATGAAGGAAAACATTCCTTATCTGTTAATAAAAATTATTAGTCAATTATAAATTTAATAATAGCAAAATTAATGTATTTTTTTCCTTTCTAGAGGCGGAAATGTGTGGCTTTAGTTGTGGAGATACTCATAGCAGTTTTTTTTGGTCTTTCACTCTTGGGACTACGCAATGTTCTTATTTTAAGAAAGATGGGACCTTTCAGTTATACTGCGTTTCCTGTCAATTTTGTACCTTCATTCATCGAAGCACCTGTCACTTCTCCTTACCCTTGGGAATTGGCTTATGTGCCTTCCAAAAGTACTGTGGTACAAAACGTTGTTGAAAATGTGAAAAAGGACTTAAACACCAATATGCAAGGTTAGAAATTAAAGTTTTCTGAAAACACATATTAAATTGTTTTAGCAAAGACATACTTATAAACCTTTTAATTAATCCTTATCTTCCATGGAAAACACTGTAGGCTATTCATATAACCAGTTATTAATGCATGAAGTACAATATTATAAACTTTGTTAAACTCAATATTATAAACTTTGTTAAACTTGTGTTTGTTTCTTTGTTTGTTCGTTTTTAGACGGGATCTCTGTATTGTCTACACTGGCCTGAAACTCTCAGTTCTCTCTCCTCAGCTTCCCAAGTAGCTAAGATTACAGGCATGTGCCACTATCCAGAAAGAGTGTGTACTCTTTAAGTTTTAGTCCTAGTGTTCTATAAACATCACCTTGGCCACAAAGGTAGATCGCTGTGCCTTCAAATCTTTGTGTTCTATATTATCTGCTTATTATGCCGGTTACTACAAGAGGTGATACATTTTCTACACGGTATAGTATTGCTGGGAATATGTGTGTGTGTGTGTGTGTGTGTGTGTGTGTGTGTGTGTGTAATTTAAAAATATATTTAATATATTAAAGTTTTCATCTGGGATTTTGCTTTCTTTTTGCTTATGTATTTTAGAAATTATATTACCAGGCCATGTAAACTTTCTATTGAATTGTTTTCAAAACAGTAGTTTTTGGCTGTGCAACTTCATTTGTCTTCACTTTAAGTTACAGGCATTTGGCCAAATGTAGTTGTTTTCTCATTAACCATATTTACTTGAAAGTTCCTTGACAAAAATTCTGATGTCTGGCACACTTGTGAATCTTTGGTTTTCTTCTTTAAGATCACCGTTTTATGAAATACCTTGCATATTTTGTTAATTGCTTCCTCTGTATCATAGATCACCTTGAATGCTGGATTTAGCCTTTCTTAGGTACTGCTGTATTTGTTTTCTCTGTGGCATAATCCTAGTTCTAGTGCATTATCCTCAGTCCTAAGACATGATTCTTTAAGGGTCCAACTTCAAGTCTATAGGTTGAAAAAGGCTTCTTCTCTTTCTGGATCTTGAACTGTCTGCACTGACTCCCTGGAATTGCTGAGCTGCTGAAAGTACTGCTCAACATTTTAGCTTGACAGCTTTGGTTATCTTTCTGCTTTCTACTTATTTAGAAGAGCAGAAGCTAATGCCTCAATGTCTATTCCTTTTCCCAAGTGGACACTGTTGTACGAGGGAGCTGACCTTCAAAGATGAATATTTAAGGAAACTGTCTTAGACATCAAAGGAGATTAGTGCCAATACTAGGAGGAAATTAAATGGAACCTCTGATACCAGAAGAACTAATATAGCTACTGAAGGAATGAGAAGAGCTGCTTGGGTGTGCACCAGCTCAACCATTCCCTTGTGTACTGCTTCCTCATTCCAGCTAGGTTTCAGTTCTGGAAAATACTGCTCTAACATCTTAAAATGGTATATTTACTTTCTTAAGTGTGATAGTAATCGAAAGGCCAGCCATACTTAGTCTAGACTTCAAGGAAATTGTGTGTGTGTGTGTGTGTGTGTGTGTGTGCGCATGTGTGCGCATGTGCGCGCACGCGCGCGCGTGTGTGTGTGTGTCTGTCTGTCTGTGTATGTGTGTCTGCACCTGAATGTGCTGTACATTTCAGAGCCAAGCACATTTGATATATGTTGAAATGAAAAGTTAATTATTTTTTAATGTTAGGTTTAGAGGTGGCATCAAGTCACTACGAAGGAAGGTAGAAGAGGCAAGTGAATTAAAGAATTGGAAGAGTTGTTGAAGTGATAAACACTTGAATATAATCTTGAAAGGAGGATAAGAAAGGGTAAGACTGATTTTAAATGTCAAGTGACTGCAGTGTAAAATGACTGAAGACCTCTGAGGTTACAACATAACAGTAAAGCAGTGTAGCCCACTCTCACATATTAAAGTCTCTCTAGGACAAATCAGAACATTCACTGTTCCATGCTTGTAAAATGAAAATATTAGTAGTGCATAATTTGCAAGGTAGTTTAAAGATCAGATAAATTAGTATGAGTATTTAGAGCCTTGTTCAGAACATAGTAAATACTCTGAAAACACTGGCTTTTGTTACTATAGTAACCCCAGCTTCCTGGTGTGCCAACTTCCTTCTCTGCTCACACCCTAAGCTGAGACTCCATTGGAATGTCTATGCCAAAGCAATGATTATTATCCCTCAGCTTAATTTCTCTGGCACCAGCAATATCCTCAGCATGTTTGGATGGCAGTCCAAATAGATCTTAAGCCATCATAAAACTGAATTAATTTGAAACTCAAGAATGACTTCAAAGATAAGAACATTGGGGTTGGCGAGATAATTCAGTGGTCTAAAGTACCTGCTTAGGCAAGCTTAGGCAGGCCACAGGTTGATCCCCAGAACCACATGCTATGCCTGGATGGGCTGAGCCTGCCCAAAAAAAAAAAAAAAAAAAAAAAAAAAAAAAAAACATAAGAACATTACACAGTTACAGACTGACCTCATGTAATCACTTATGACAATAGGGATTCTCTGATTTGTGCAGTGTTAAAAGCCACTGCTCTTAGGCTGGGGAGATAGTTCAGTGGTCTAAGTGCCTACCTGGCAAGTACAAGGACTCAGGTTCAATCCCTGGTACTATGTGCTGTGCTGGCCATCAATACCAAATAAATAAATAAATAATTTTAAAAGCTACTACTCTTATCAATGTTATATTAACCTTGGTGAATGGTTATTCTATTGGTCAGCCTTCCCATCACTGGGACAAAATGCCATATACCTACAACTTAAAGGAGTTTTATTTGACTCATACGTTCAAAGGTTTAGTCTCAATGATTGGCTGACTCTAAGACAGAAACATCATGACCAAAAGGTATTATAGGCAAAACTGCCAACTTTATGACACCTGGGAAACAAAGCAGGGTAGCAGCACTAGAAAGGAAGAGGCTAGGAACCAGTTATAGTACCCAAGGTCACATCTCCATGACCTGCCCAGGCATACCCAGCAGTGTACTTAATCCTGTAGGTGGCACCCTAGCCAATCAAGTTGTCAGTCCAGCTTAACTATCATCATTATGTTGTTGATTAGAGGGCAGCTTTACATTTTGATCACCAACTAAGCAACTGCGCTGAAGATGGCAATTTGTAATAGTAGGTTCATGCTTGGAGTGCCTGTCATTCTGGTCTTCTGAATACGTGCTGCTTGTCATTACACACCGGTTGCTGCCATGCTGTTGCTCAGGTAGATGATTGTTTACAAAGGAAGAGGGTGGTTAATGAAGGCAGGAGACAGGAAAAGGAGTATTGTGGGACTGTCCTGCTACAATGCTGTATATGGTTAGATTTCTGGACTTATATGTAAACATATATAATTCTTTGTTCCTATTTTTAAATATATTTTAATTTTTTAAATTTTTTTTGGTCATATTCTGTAGGGACTTAAAGTTTAACATATCAATACTTGATGAAAAATACCTGTTCCATGTTATGCCTACGATGTTTGATATTCAGATAGTGAGGTTAAGCTCAACAGCCTAGGTTGTGTGGTAATAACAATAAGCTTCTCTTCTGGAGGGTTAACAACCTAAGTTTGCAGATCAAAAATTAGAGAAAAAGGAGGGCCGCAAGGAAAGCCAACATTTTGGCCCTAGCCTTCCAAAGTCAGTTAAGACTCAGGACATATGAGAACTTGTACTGTAACATCATGTAACTCAGTTGTGCCCCAAATTTTCTGATCAAGGAGATTTTGGGCCAAAGAGAAAAGTGATCGATGATGTAGAGTGTGCCTAAAGAGAGTCACATGGAGAGAAAACATTCTTTCAGGCTTTCACAGAGAGCACACTGGCCAAGCAATGGCCATGACTGGCACTGACAAAGGATCTACAAACTGAGGTACAAGATCTCAGCATAAATCCTGAGGGGATTTGACTGACCTTATCATATCCAAAAGCTACAATTCTTGTTACATAGGTCTTGCTTTATCTTGGTCTTAACCATCCAGCAGAAAAGTATAAAAACGAAGTATAAGAAGTCAAGTCACATTGTTATGTTGAGCTGTAGGGGACTCAGGTCAACAACTTGTGACATTGCCAGTCAAGTGGAAGACCTAATACTATTATGGACTACTGGACTATTTTGGAATATTTTGCTGAGTTCACACACTTGTAATATTTAAATGACGGAACTAAACAAAAAAAGGGGATACAGATGAATGACCATTTTGTATCTGTGTATTCAAAATGGTTAGGATAGATATATAGATACATTATCTTAATTCAATGAATAGAGGGATTTGTTGTAATAGTGTTTGTAAATAGGATATCATGTCTGCATCTTGTACAACAAATAACGACTAGGAAGACAGTATGCAAAGTGTTAATTATTGAAACTGTCCTACCAATTTGATTTGAAACTGTCTCATTGCTATTTGTTTCTCAATAAAATTATGGAAAAAAAAACAAGAAGATAGGAAATTTTTTTTCCAATTTGTGGGTTTTCTTTTCACTCTGTTGGCAATTTCTTTTGACATGCAGAAAGTCTCCAAAAACATTAGATCCAAGTTGTTGAATCATTAAAGTATTTCCCATGTAAAACAAAAGAAAAAGAAAAAGAAAGGAAATCAACAGTGGTTGTTGTATTCCATATTGTTATCTTCAAAGTAGTTACTCTGATTACCAGATATAGGCATGCAAAATTGGTCAAGTAGGCATTAACTTTTCCTTTCAATAAACCAGTAGAAACTAATGGTACCACTAATAAATAAATAAATTTTGATCACCAAAAGTAGTCGAGGGGGCTGGGTCCTTGCAGTGGTTGCATTGCAGTGAATGCCTGGCTGCCTTCCAGAATAAACATTGGCTCAAGAGCACCAGCATCAGCCTGTCCCACAGTCTGTAACCGCCATGTTTCTTCCTCTTGAGTGAGGCCATTCCTTTGTATCATGACAAGCTAAGACATTTTATGCAAATGTCATGCAAGTATGCCACCATTCAAGGGTCCTTACCAAGATCCTCTGTTTCCTAGACAGAAAAGACATTGTCTACACTGGAGGGGAATTCTTTGGAATTAAATGTTGGTATTGTTTATAGATTTGTTTGCAAAGGACAAATGGAACAAAGCAGCTAAGAGAATTGACTTTATGATAGTCTTGCAAGATACAGATGCGGTGCTATTTTGGAAACCAAGTGATAAGAGCATACCTTGGGATGTGGACTTTCCAAGCATGAAAATAGTACCTTTGGTGAGGGTGAGGGTACCATCAACAATGATGCTTTTCTTGGAAACTTTGGGGAATCAGATCATTTGGAATTTTACTATGGGAAAACTTGTGCCAAACAACCCTTTTAAATCTTAGGAATAAAACTGCATAGAACTTCATTTTGATCCTTGAGTTGTTAAGTCTTGATATTCTGTTTACATCAAATATATGTTTACTCCTAAGACAATCTTTGATGTATAGGGATGAACATATAGATACATTAAATGGCTGTTTTGACTTAGGAAGATACAAATATCATTGTCTTTTCTAATATCGGTTAAGTTAAATTTGTAGGCTAAATATATTGATCAGTCACCTGAAGTATGGAGTTGCTATTGCTTCAAGTGTTGAAGTCATAAAGTAGCTTCATCCTTCAACTTCTGAGTATATAGATGCAGATATTAGGGAGTTTTATGGCATAAAGTTTGAATAGCTTGAACAGATCAGTTTTCTAATATCCATCCAAAATGGAATTTTTTTTATTTTATGAAAAATAAAATATTAATCAAATAAGATAATAGTAGTTACTATATTGTATATCATTATCATCAAAGTAATTACTCAAATACAAGACATAAACAGAAATATTCTTACAAAAAACAAACATGGTAACACCAAACTTTCTTCTCAGTGAACTAGATAGACTAATAGTATACTAGTAGTATATATTAGAATATATATTGAAATAATTTTTGAAACAGTGGAATTTTTGGGAACATATTTGAGCTTCCTACTTCCTATTTATATCTCTTCTATTTTGCTGTTTGTTTCTATAAATTGTATTTCTTTTTTCTTTCTTGCTTGCTTTCTTGCTTTCTTTTTGACGGTTCAGCCTGCCCTGAGGGCGGGGCTGGCATGGCATGTAGTACTGGGAATCGAACCACGGTCCCCTGAGCCTGCCTAAGCTTGCCTAAGCAAGTGCATTAGACCACTGAGCTAAACACAGCTGGCTCTGTGTTTCTTATATTAGAAAAACCATGAGATAGACCCAGAGCGCAGGCCTGGTGAGTGAGTGAGACCACCCAGGCCATGGGATCCTGAACAGACCCAGAGTGCAGGCCTGGAGAGTAAGTGAGATGACCTAGGGCCTTCTGGATCCTGAACAGACCCAGAGCACAGGCCTGGCGAGTGAGTGAGACGACCCAGGCCACGGGATCCTGAACAGACCCAGGGCACAGGGCCAGTGAGTGAAGCGACCGAGGGCCTGCGGGATCCTGAATAGATCCAGAGCACAGACCCAGTGAGTGAGTAAGACGACCCAGGGCCGCAGATCCTCATTTGACCCAGGCTGCAGGCCCAGCACAGAACCCTTCAGCAGAACTCCCTGCAAAGAGGCCAGAGGCAAGACCCACCCAGCTGATTCAGGAGCAGAACATCTTGCCAGAGAGACACAAAAGGTTCAACTGTAA